GGCTGACGAATGTCCGATCCACTTAAGCAGTGACAGATCTGAAATGCCCACTTGAGAAACATCTGCTCAGACGAAATGATTAACGAAGAGATACGGAAGATAACGACAGAAGAGAGACTAACAAATCGCGCGACGCTGACAAAAATGAAGAGGCATCGAAACGAGGCAACAGTGATCCCCGTTAATTACGACGAATGATCAGCCAACTGTTGTCGTTTTTCTTGTTAATTAATGCCATGTTTATAAAACAACAAAAATATAATGAATGCCTCATCCAAGACCCAATTTCATGGCGTACTGCACCGCTCTTTGATCCTAGATGCCTACGAAAGAGATCATTTTAAGCAGGCTACACCTACAAGGTATCTGAACGCCTGCAGTATCACAGGCATCTCGCATCATTTTGTCCGCTAGAGCCGCCGCATTCATCAGAAATGATGTTTCAGGCAGTAGTGTTCTTCATATACTAGCGCATAAACATCATAAACTTTACGAACACCAAGAATGTCAAATAACGAAAGACTCCTTCAAGACTAAATTCAACAAGAAACAATTAAACATACCTTTTCAATTACAAAATTACTGAGATACTGTGTGCTCATGTCTGTATATCGATGAATATATACATATATGTGTCTATGAATATGAATGTTTATGAACAGTTTATGAATAGCTTTCAGGGTTAGGGTCAACGCCTTTCATTAATGGGTTAACACTGAGAATAAACGATGACTGAAAACTCTCCGTTTCAAGCAGCAGGGCAGTTTCCCGGATAAGAATATTTTCTCTCTTCCAAAGGGGCGCCACACCATTTCTATTCTTTTTGGGTAATTCTATACGGTAGGGTGCTTGACTGCAGTGATGTTCCAAGTTCCAGAGAGACTTTCTTTCCTCAACAACTCGCATCGTCACATATCTGCCAAACAAAAACTACGTCTTCTACAGGTTCACTGAACACAATCTGCGTCCCCCTTTTATACAAATGACGTTCAGAATTTAGAACCTTTAGGAAATCAGAATTTTGCCAGTATACCAAAGGAAGCTTAAGTAGTAACAACTGATCGTCATCCTCTACTATCCAAATGAAATGCCTTGTAGTGATTGTACTTATGTAGGCAGAAACAGATCAGTATAAGGAGTGAATTATTTCGACCCCTAAAAAGCATCCATGTACGTGTTTTTCTCGCTGCGCGTTTTCGACTATTACACGATCGACATGAATTAGAGCCTTAAGTCTAGAAGCAAAATCTCATGGTAAACCATTAACCATAAACTGAGATTATCTGCAAGAAAGACTATTTCGGTGGAACGTTTCATTTTACATAATGTGCAAATTTCTCAGCAAACTCGACAAGAATAACATAAAAAGAACGGCCCCTACTTCGGCTTCTCCTGTGTGTTCATCTCGCGTTTCACCTCGTCCATCCATAGCAGCAAGTCACGCACCATCAGCATGAAGCGGAACAGGTCGCTGGTGTCGACCAGTTTCAACTTACGGCCATCGCAGATCGCCTGCAACTGACGCCACGCGCCCAACACCTCCATCTCGCGAGCCTGTATTTCGATAGCTTTGTCGCCGGCGTACGCCGACAGAAGCTCCCG